GCACCTTGCAGGGCGTGCCAGCACTGGGCCCTGCTGAGCTCTTTCTGCGTCCTGGCCGACAGCCCGTGTCACTGCTGTCAAACAAACGCATACAACAGGTCTGCTGAGTGAAGAGCCCTCCATAGTCACTGATGGTTAAACTAGTAAAAAGTAGAGAAATCAAAGGAGTAGGATGATTTACATAAATATGATCTATTATTAATATTAATACTAATATTGATTTCTAGATCCAGTGCCTAGAGAACAGTCTTTTCATGTCTATGGAATATTTATAAAAATTGATATCTGACTATGAGGTATTCTAAAATGCACAAATAGAATAACTATTTTCTCTGAATAATTCATAGCTGCTATAAATAGATATCGGGAGAATAAACAAAAACTTCTAATAACCTAGAATAAAAATGCAGTTACAGAATGTTTGGTAAATTTGAATTGTCAATGCTACACGTCGAAACTTACAGGACGCAGCCAAACTGTACTTGGACGGAAATGCAGAGATTCAACCCCTCGACGACCAAGTCAGAGGGATGAAAACGAGCAGTGGATTAGGTAAGCAGTTGAATATGTCTGGCATATATTAAGTCGTCAATAAACATTTAGTGAGTGAAAAAATGAGAGGAAAAACAATGAAACAAATTCAGAGAAAACAGAATAAAGGAAAGCATTTTCAAACGTTAACTACTGGCCAGCAGGTGGTGTGGTGGTTAAGGCACTGGATCCCACCAGGCTGACTCCGTGGTCTGAGTCCTGGACTCAGGGCTTCATAAACATGCTGGGGGTATGTATATGCTGAAAACCCTGATAGGAGAACGGAGAAGGGGCTGTGCTGGGGCCACCCTCCCCTGGAGGGGGATTCCTCACTTTCCCTATTTCTCTGTTTCTCTCCGGAAAGTGCGCATGCCCTATGACAAAAATCTAAAAAGGACACAATCCCTTAACTACTGAGTTTGAAAACAAAAGAAAATTAAGTCAGGTAGCTGGATGGGAACAGAGGGGCGACCCCTATTAGTTACTAGCCAGTCGTTGGAGGAGAGAGAAGACAACACGGTGTGAGAAAGGAGGTGCGGCCACAGCTACGGCGGCAATGCGAGAATTACGGAGAAGCACTGTCTGTGTCATGCTACGCATTTGATAATCTAGACAAGACGCAACACTCCTGAGGAGACATAAACTACTAAAGGTGTGCAAGAGAAAGTGCTGAGCCAGGAGGCCTCCAGAGTTCAGGGCCAGACACTCACTTCAGGTCTGAGCTCTTCCTTTCGTTAACTGTGTAGCCTAACAATTTCCTACCCTCTCTCGCCCTCACTCTCCTTATCCCAATCACTGCACTCTGCAGCCAGACCAAGGCTGGCCCATAGCGCAGCGCTCACATGCTATGCAGGGCGAGTAGATCGCACACGGCAAGGCCAGACTGCGGTTTGAGTCCTGGTCCTGGGGCAACGCTCCAGGTACAGGTGCCCAGGAACCTGACAGGATGGAGAAATGGGGGGAAAAGAATTGCAGGGTGGAGGAATGGGGAAAAGAGAATTACAGGATGGAGGAATGGGGAGAAGAGAATTGCAGGATAGAGGAATGGGGGGCAGAGAATTGCAGGATGGAGGAAGGGGGGGAAGAAGTGCAGGATAGAGGAATGGGGGGCAGAGAATTGCAGGATGGAGGAAGGGGGGGAAGAAGTGCAGGATAGAGGAATGGGGGGCAGAGAATTGCAGGATGGAGGAAGGGGGGGAAGAAGTGCAGGATAGAGGAATGGGGGGCAGAGAATTGCAGGATGGAGGAAGGGGGGGAAGAAGTGCAGGATAGAGGAATGGGGGGCAGAGAATTGCAGGATGGAGGAAGGGGGGGAAGAAGTGCAGGATAGAGGAATGGGGGGCAGAGAATTGCAGGATGGAGGAAGGGGGGGAAGAAGTGCAGGATAGAGGAATGGGGGGCAGAGAATTGCAGGATGGAGGAAGGGGGGGAAGAAGTGCAGGATAGAGGAATGGGGGGCAGAGAATTGCAGGATGGAGGAAGGGGGGGAAGAAGTGCAGGATAGAGGAATGGGGGGCAGAGAATTGCAGGATGGAGGAAGGGGGGGAAGAAGTGCAGGATAGAGGAATGGGGGGCAGAGAATTGCAGGATGGAGGAAGGGGGGGAAGAAGTGCAGGATAGAGGAATGGGGGGCAGAGAATTGCAGGATGGAGGAAGGGGGGGAAGAAGTGCAGGATAGAGGAATGGGGGGCAGAGAATTGCAGGATGGAGGAAGGGGGGGAAGAAGTGCAGGATAGAGGAATGGGGGGCAGAGAATTGCAGGATGGAGGAAGGGGGGGAAGAAGTGCAGGATAGAGGAATGGGGGGCAGAGAATTGCAGGATGGAGGAAGGGGGGGAAGAAGTGCAGGATAGAGGAATGGGGGGCAGAGAATTGCAGGATGGAGGAAGGGGGGGAAGAAGTGCAGGATAGAGGAATGGGGGGCAGAGAATTGCAGGATGGAGGAAGGGGGGGAAGAAGTGCAGGATAGAGGAATGGGGGGCAGAGAATTGCAGGATGGAGGAAGGGGGGGAAGAAGTGCAGGATAGAGGAATGGGGGGCAGAGAATTGCAGGATGGAGGAAGGGGGGGAAGAAGTGCAGGATAGAGGAATGGGGGGCAGAGAATTGCAGGATGGAGGAAGGGGGGGAAGAAGTGCAGGATAGAGGAATGGGGGGCAGAGAATTGCAGGATGGAGGAAGGGGGGGAAGAAGTGCAGGATAGAGGAATGGGGGGCAGAGAATTGCAGGATGGAGGAAGGGGGGGAAGAAGTGCAGGATAGAGGAATGGGGGGCAGAGAATTGCAGGATGGAGGAAGGGGGGGAAGAAGTGCAGGATAGAGGAATGGGGGGCAGAGAATTGCAGGATGGAGGAAGGGGGGGAAGAAGTGCAGGATAGAGGAATGGGGGGCAGAGAATTGCAGGATGGAGGAAGGGGGGGAAGAAGTGCAGGATAGAGGAATGGGGGGAAGAACTGCAGCACAAACAGACACTGTTGGGAGATGCTTGCTTTCTCTCTCACCCCTCTGTCGTGGGGGAAAAAAAACTAGACCCTACCGCTAGGAATATGGGGGGCAGGAGATTTAAAGAGACAGAAATAAACAGCTTCTCTGCTGCACTCTTGTGCCTGTTACAATGTAAAAAGGTCACAGAAGAAATCAAGAACGTGATCAAAGAGCTATCCCTCACCAGAACACGGCGAGCAAAGCGTCGCACTGCAGGTGCTGCTGTGTGAGCTGCTGTAGAACACAGGAAAGAAGAAAGGCTCATTTCTCTTCAGGGTAGGAGCACATCCCTGATACCAAACCCTGACAGACAGAACGGGGAGGAGGAGTATAGCCGACGCTGGTAGAAACAGAGACTGCAAAGTCAGCATCGGAACCACCTCAGCAGTACTTACATATAATGCATGTACCAAGTTCTTGGGTCATTGGGAAAGCCACGATGTGTTTTCCTGTCTTCCTATGCGAAAATGTGTCCTGCCTGTCCTTCAACCCAATCAACTGGGTACGTGCATTCATTCTCTGGAGAAAGACAAAGAGACAGAAAGTGAGAAATAGACCCCTCCCACTACCACCAAGGGGGATGGCCATGGCTCACAACCCTCTCCATTCTCCTCTCAGGATTTTGGGCACACATGCACACACACCCAGCCAGATTTTTCAAGCCACCAGGTCCAGAACTCAAACTGCAGTTAACTATGTGGGAGCTGAATGCCTTAACCAACATGCCACCCACTGCCCCAACAGTGAATCTCTTAATATTCGTACCTTTTTTTTTTTTTTTAAAGATTTTTCCATAGAGCATGTGCACTCACCAGAGACAGTGAGTGAGAGAGAAAGTGAGAAGTCAATCCCCAGGGGTGATGACCAGTACACCCACAATCTCTTCTCCTCCATTCCCTTCTCAGGACTTTGGGCAGGCACGCATATGTGCCCAGTGTGATTTTCAAACTGTCGGGTCCAGGGCTTGAACCACAGTTAGCCCTGTGGGAGTCCAGTGCCTTAACCACTATGCCACCTGCTGGCCCCTGTACACTAAGAGATTTATTACACTAAACTGGCTTATGCAATTGTGGGGACTGGCTATGCAAGTTTGAAATTCACAGGGCAGGCCAAAATGTTTGGGCACAAGCTGAAGTTTAAAGTCTATAGGCAGGGAACCAGCAGTTAGCATAATGGCTATGTTGCTGGACTCCCATGTAGTCGACTGTGGTTCGTGTCCCGGACCCAGTGGCTTAAAACTCACGCTGGGCATGTGTGCGTGCGTGCCCAAGATCCCGAGAGGAGAATGGAGGAGAAGGGATTGCGGCGTGGCCATCCCCCCTGGGAGGTGATTTCTCGCATTCTGTCTCTCTGTCTCTCTCTGTCTGTCTGGCGAGCGCACACACCCTATAGTGAAAACCTCTCCAAAAAATAAAAAAAGTCTACAGGTAGAATTTCTTCTTCAGGGAAACCTCGGTTTTGAACTCAGGGCCCTTTGACTGAGCCAGATCCCCCCAGATTACCAAGGATAATCTTCTGGACTTAAACACAATGGATGGTAGATGGCTACCACGCGTATAATGAAGCCCAGTTTGTGTTTGAGTAACTGGGAACTAGTCTCGCCAAGTCGACATGGAACGGATCACATCTAGTGAACAGATTGCCAATGCGAAATATTCAGGTGGTCAAGAGATACAGAGTGATGAGTATGAGAGCTATCTCTCTACCACCCAGAGAGTGCTTGAAAAACATCCTGGGCGTGTGTTCACGCATGCCCCAAATCTTGACGGAATGGAGAAATGGAGGAGAAGAGATTACGGTGTGACTGCCCCCCCCCCCCGGATATTCTCTCTCTCGCTCTCTCACATAACAAAATAAGATCGGGGGCTGGCAGGTGGCGGCATGGTGGTTAAGGTGCTAGACTCCCACATGGCAGAGTGCAGTTTGCATCCCGGATCTGGCGGCTTGCTTTCTCTCTCTCTCTCTCTGGTCAAATTTAGAAATAATAATAGTAATAGTTATAATATAATGAAATAAAATAGTTATTTTTTAAAAGAAACTGAGATCAAGGGACTGACAGGTAGCATGGTGGTTAAGGTGCTGGACTCACACATGGCCGAACACATGGTTCAAGTCCCAGACCTGGCGGTTTGCTTTCTCACTTTTCTCTCTTTCTCACTTTCTTTGCTTTCTCACTTTCTCACTTTTCCTCTCTCTCTCTGGTCAAATTAAAATAATAACAACAAATAAATTAGATAAAATAATTCTAGAAAAACCCTGAGATCATAAGGCCAGTCCCATGCCTTGGTGGTTAAGGGAGCAGGATCCCACATGGCTGCCGATGCCGTTGGAACTCCAGTCCCAGCAGCTTGTAAAACACACCAGCTGTGTGTGCTCGTGAGCCCAACATCAACGAGATCGAGAGATGGGAGAGAAGAGGTCGCAGCCCTCCGCCAAGGTCCAACCTCCCAGAGGCTGGGCCCTGGCCCTCCAAACTGTATGCCGAATAAACCTTTCTTTCCTTATAATCACCCAGTCTCAGGTATCTCCATTAGCAATACAATAATGGCCTAAGACCATACAGTAGCAGTCAAATTTCCAGAGATGGACTACAGAATGAGAGTTGCCAAGGGCTGAGAGTCAGGGGGATTGGGGAGTTACTGTTTAAAGGTACAGAGTTTCTGGCTGAGACCGAAGAAAAACTACTGATAACTCGGTCTTTGAACTTAAAACTTTATGCTTCAAGGGATAACATTTAAAAAGTTCAGACAAAGCACAGAACTACAGAATGGGAGAAAATATTTGCAAACCATACATCCGAGAAGGGTCTATATCTGGCACATGTAGAGAGCTTTTACAACTCAATGATAAAAGACAGAAAAGGGCAGAGGATCCAGACAGACACTTCTTCAGAGAGAATACTCCAGTGGCCAATAAGCATGTGAAAAGGTGTAGGACTATCAAGGAGATGCAAATTAAAACCAGGGTGAGAACCTGCTTCACGCCCACGAAGACGGCTATAGTGAAAAGACGCAGTAACGAGTGTGGGTGAGGATGTGGAGAAACTGAAATGCTCACACGTCCTGGTGGGACTGTAAAACGGTGCTATTTTGGAAAATAGTTTTATGACTCCTTAGAACGCCAAACATAGAGTTACTACACGACCCAGCAATTCTACAACTAGGTATACACCCAAGGAAAACAAAAACGTATGTCCACATAAAAATATTCACAGCAGCATTATTTATAATAGACAAAAGTGTCGCCAATTCAAATGTCCATCAAATAATGAATGGATAGGGGCCAGCGGGTGGTGTGGTGGTTAAGGTGCTGGACTCCCACATGGCCGAGCACTGTTTGAGTCCCAGGCCTGGTGGCTTAAAAATCACACCGGGCATATGTGCATGAATGACCCAAAATCCCAGGAGGAAAGTGGAAGAGAAAAGACTGTGGCATGGCCACCCCCCTGGGGAGTGATTTCTCACTTTGTCTCTGTCTCTTTGGTGAGTGCACACACTCTATGACAAAAATAAAAAAAAGGATCAATAAAATGTAGTCTATCTATACATACAATATTATTTGATGATGAACATAATGAAATACTAATACATGCTCAACGCAGATGAACCTGAAAATATTATGCCAAATGAGAGACCCCAGTCACAAAAGACCAACAGTGCGTAATCTATTTACATTAACAGAGTAAGCAGATAGAGAAAAGAAATTCATGGCTGCTTAGGACTGGGGGAAGGGAAAAGAGAAGATGGGGAAGGACTTTAAAGGACTTTAATCAGTATGTGGTTTTTTGGGGGGATGATGAGAATGGTCTACAACTTGTAGGGATCGTTGCACAACTCTGAAAATACTAGAATGTGCATAATTGTACACTTTGGATGTGTAGATTGTATATGTGAATTGTGTCTTGATAAAGGTTCTATAAAAAGCCCTTTTACTCTTTGATTGGAGGGTGATTTCCTATTTATTTGATCATTTAATCTGCACCTGACCATTCCTCTACTTCTGGAACTTCTGCTACAAACACAAGATGGGAATCTTCAAAAAGTTCACAGAAATGCCTATTATGAAAACTTAGGCATGGATTTCAATTGTTTTGCTCTGAAATAAACTCGTTCTTTAGTTCCAGTTTCTGTGAACTCTCCTCACCCGTGATATTCCCAAGATCTGCCATTTAAGGACAGCGTTACACAACCAGGAAGTCACTGCTCACGTGCAGTGAAAGGTCACCTCTCCCATCTCACTCTTTGCCCAGTGGAGTTTTGCAACATCACAACACTTTCTGAGCCTTGCCTTGTGATTTGTTGTTTCTCAAAATTTTCTTAGAGGTATGGGAGAATCCCTTCTAACTGAGTGGTCTGGAAACCTGGTCGGCCATCAGAGTCACCTCTGGGCGGTGTTCCTTAGAGACAGGGATCCCAACTGTCACCTGGAGAGTCTGCGAGGCCAGGGCAGGGCCAAGGGACGCTGCGTTAATGTGCTCTGAGTGAGTGGTGACTGATTCAGCCAGTCGAGCATCGGAGACTGCATCTATAATTCACCGACTCCTTGTTCTGTAAGACCCATGCTGCTATTGACTGCTTTAGTGAGCATTTATTTCAACAAGATTTTTTGTCTCTAAGAACTCTTGTTCTCAGACCGCTCCTGTTTCATGACAGCTTTTCCTACTTCATTGCTGCAATGTCCTCTTAATCTCACAGAGGTTACTAATGAATTTTTTAAAAAGTTCTTTTTTTTTCTGTATTACTTTCTTTTTATAAAGTTCTTTTCTAAATTAGGACTTCTGGTTTACATATAATTGATGTGCATCTTTGTGGCTGCCGCATGGTTTTCTGTAAGGCATGCATTCAGCGTTTAATAATCAAATTGAGGATGTACACACATACTCATCTTCCCTATCAAACACTGCATTACGCTGGATCGTGAGATAATTAACAGACACGAGGCTGCATTAAGTAAGGGAGAAAGGCTACGGGACGGTGTATCGCAGCCGGGTGAAACATACAGACAACCGATTGCATGTTTTAAGAGAATAAAGTAGTAGGACTTCTCCACATTATGTTCTGTGTGCGCCCAGAGTACTCACAGTTCTTCTCCCTGGCCCGTGGGGTCAAGGCTGTAGTGCTCCCTGTGACTCGGCAGGACGAGGACTCATGCTGGCGTGGCTCCCACCAGGTGCTTACCCAGCGTCCTCTGAAGCTGCGCTGCTGCACGTTGGCCACCTATGAGCACCACCTGGGGAGCTTTACGACGCCTGATCCCCGGGCTCTACTCAGAACCCTAACACCAGAAACCACGAGACATGGGTCCTAGGTGAAACAGTGCGTCCCAGAAGCTTCCCCGGTGATTCCAGTGTGTACTTACAGTTGCAAACTGCTGTATAATTGAAATCAGCGTGTCTCCGAATTTCACTGGACGTCCCTGCCTCGGGGATCGTAAAGCAAGCGCTGGCTCATAACGCCCGTCCTGGGCTGAGAGTCTTCTTTCTGAGAAGTGCTTGTGATTTGCTGATCACTGGCCAGGGA